TTTTTTTTTCCTTTTGACCAGTGTCTCTTAAGTGTGAGTATTTTGTTCATGCCTGTTACTGTCAGCTCTGACACACAGTGATCCCACTGGACAGAGTAGAACTGTCTGGAAGACTTCCATGGCCGTAGTCTTTATTGAAGCCAACTGCCACATCTTCCTCCCTGCATCCTGCTGGTGGGCTCAGACCACTGACTGAGGTTAGCAAGTGAATATGAGCAAACAATTTGGACACTTCCAAAAATTTATCACTCCTAGAAATGCCCATGTTTCAAAAGATGATGTATTCTATTAAAAATGTGCCTCGGTATCCACCATGCTGAGGTTTGGGGTGTCACCTAAATCACTCAGCAGGTCAGGAAGCCAGCAGCAAACAGTGAAACTTTCTAGAAAACCATAATGAACACAAGATAGGCGGCACTCTCTTCTGCAGAGAATTCTGTGCTTTCTGCTTGCTTTCTCTTTTTAAAAATTGTGATTTGAGTGAAGATTTAAAAAGCAAATTGGTTTTCCATTCAGCTATTCTCTCACATTATTTGTAAAACAGCCAACAACTCCTTGGCGTGGAGTGGGAACTGCCACCACCATGAGCCTGCTGTGGGCTCTTGGGAACTGTGGCTCGTGTTACATACCCACAGGTGCCTACACTTTCTGCACTCCTTTGTGCCTTTTAGTCCTTCCACCCCTTCTGTCTTCTGAGCATTAGTTACCCTGGCAGACACCCCCTCTCCGAGCTAGTGTGGTTGATTATGTCAGGGATGAGTGCCCCTCTGGTGTTATCATTCACCTTATAGGCCTGTGTCTTGTTTGGCTAGGGCGCTCTGGTGGCCTAGTGGTAAGAAGCTGTGCTGCAGTTCTGAAGGCAGGCAATTCTAATCCATCACCTGCTCCTCAGGAGAAAGATGGGCACTCTTCTATGGGATTGACTGCCACTGAAAACCTGCTGGAGGGTCAGCTGTGAGTCGAATCCAACTCCTAGGGTACACAAAACAGCACCATTGTTAGACTGGAGTCTTGGCAGCACAGGCGAATGCATCCTTCTTTCCTTGTGCACATTTTGATGAAGTCCTGTCAACTCTCTGAGTCTTCTGGGTTCTATCTTCTGTTTCATGTCCAAGGACTCTGCACCTTAAGCCCCAGGTTACATAAACTTCCATCCTATGCTATAACTGAAAGCTTTATTTTAATTTTTGATCTTTAGGACCTACTTTAAGTTAGTTTTTCAAAGTACAAGGTTTAGGCTGAAGTTCATTTCTCTATCAGTGAAGGTACAGTTAATCCAGTCGCATTTGTTGAAGAGACCTGAAACTAATGTAGCCATTTTTGCTTTCTTTTTTAAATTTTTTTTATTATTACTTTTTGTGTGTACTGTCAAATTGGATATGACTGGTACAGGAGGAGATTGCCCCTCTTTCTCCAGCAGAGAATCTGGTAGATTTGAACCATGTACCTCTGGGGTTGCAGTGCAGCTTCCTGCCACTAGGCCACCAGAGCTCCCTCCATTTTTGTTTTCTTGATTAGTATATTTTTCCCCCTGTGTTTATATTGCTTGACTTTTAATTTATATAGATTTTTATATTTGAAGTGAGGTGTTTTGGTTTTTTTTTTTTTATGAACAGCAGACAGGCATGATTTATTAACCCATTCTGGCATTCTATCTTTTAATTGATGTAAACCATTTGTATATAATGTCATTTGTAAGTATATTTGCCAACCATTTTTTAGTAATTTTTTATTTTATTGGAATCTTGTTAGTTTCTTCAGCTTTTTAATTGCTTTGTTTCCCTCATTTTTACTTCTTTGGGGCAATTTGAAGACTGTATGTTGTTGTTATGTGCCATCAGGTTGCCTGCAACCGATAGTGACCCTGTGTACAGCAGCTCTGAATCCTGCCCTGTCCTGAGCCACACTCTTTAGTCAGACACACCAACCCTCATTACCCCAGTTATTGTATCAGTCCATCAGGTCTGGGGTCTTTGTCTCCTGTGCTGTCCCTCCACCCTGTCCTTTTCCAAGAATCAGTCTCTCCTGGCTACGTGCCAAAGTATGTGAGATGGAGCTTCAAAATCCTAGTCTCCAGGGATAAACATGAATTCACCCTCTCCAAGACAGACCTATTTGTTTTCTTGGCAGTCCATGGTATGTTCAAAACTCTTCTCCAGCACCACGACTTGAAAACATCAATTCTTCTGTCATCTTTAGTCATTGTCCATCTCTTTGATGCATAGCAAGTAGTTGCGAAGACCATGGCCTGGATTAGGCGCACCTTAGACTCGAGACTAATTTCATTGCTTTTCAGTATTCTGGAGAAGTCCCTGACAGCAGATTTTCCGAGTGCAGTTTGTCTTTAGATTTTTCAACTGCTGGTGCCAAGAGTGTTGATTGTGGAGCTGAGCAAGCTGTAAATGTTAACAACCTCAATCTCTTCTTCATCCATCATGATGCTGCAGGCTGGGTTTAGAAGAGGTCCTGGCACTAGAGACATTACTGACAGTGTCAGATGGATCTTGACAGAAAGCAGAGTACCAGAGGAATGTCTATCTGTTTTTCATTGACTATGCAAAGGCATTTGACTGTGTGAATCACAACAAATTGTGGCTAACCTTGAGGAAAATAGGAATTCCAGAATACTTGATTGTGCTTATGTCAAACCTGTATTTGGACCAGGAAGCAGTCCTCAGAACAGAGCAAGGAAACACTGCTCTGTTCAAAATCAGGATAGGAGTGTGTGAGGGATGCATCCTGTCTCCTTACCTTTTCAGTCTATATAGATCGTTCGGGAAGCAAGGTTTTATGAGGAGGAATGTGGCATCAGGATTAAAGGAAGACTCATCAGCAACCTGTGTTATGCAGATGATACAACCTTGCTTGCTGAAACTGAAGAAGACCTGAAGCATTTGCTGCAGAAGGTCAAGGACTATAGTTTTCATATGGATTGAAGCTTTAACATCAAGATGATAAAGATTCTTAGCACTGACTCAGTTGGCAACGCCATGATAGATGGAGAAGATTGTTTTGTTTTCTAATCTGGGTGTTTTGTTATCTTTGTATTATTTTTTTTAGGTATTACAGTATTTCTCTTTTTACAGTCTTTTTCCTTGATATTTTAACACTTGAAGTGCAATGCAGAAATCTTACCATCTTTTGGTTCCTTTAATGCACCCACCCTGAATGTGCTGTTCTATCTTATGAAAGCCAATCACTGTCATAAGATTGACCTTCACATGTCAGAGTTCTTTTAAAACACTCAAGAGAAATGTCTGTTTACCTAGATGTTTGCAAGTTTCTGTGGCTGGTCTTTCATTCTGTTTCTAGTTTCCCTATAACACTCATGCTTTAGCAATTTGATTGCGACAGATTTGTTTGTAATGAGTTCTCTTCAGTTTTCCTCATCTGAGAATGACTTTATCTCTCCTTTGTATGGGATATTTACACCAGAAAAGGAATTGTGGGTTGTTTTTCTTTAGTGTTTTGTTTTTTTTCTTTGAGCACTTTTAAGATGTTTCTTCACTTCTGGCCACCATGGTTTCTAATGAGAATTCCTTAGTCATTCAGATTTTTTCCTTCCCTGTTTTATACTTCATTTTCCTCTTCTTTCAAGACTTTTGCTTTTAGTTTGAATATATGATGTGTCTAGGAGTAAAGTTGTTTGACTGTAACCTTTTTTGGTGTTCTCTGAACTTCTTGAAGTTTATATACTTTCATTAAATTTGTTGTTTGCAAGCTATTTTTTTTCATTAAAGTTTCCCACTCAGGACTGCAGCCTTTTTCATCTTCTTTTGAGCCTCTACTGTCATAAATATTATAACTGTCTGAGGCTGTGCTTTGATGTTTTCTTTTTACATATTTTTTTCTTGGTTCAGAATGAATGATGTTGAGGGATGGGATCTGTCTTCAAGTTCAGGTAAAGAGAAAACTCTTTTATTGCCTTTCAATAACTGGCTCATCCAGTGGGTTATTATTTCATTTAGTGTACTTCTCAGCTATTGTACAAAGATTATTTTTTGTATCTTCTGTTTCTTAGAGTTTTTATTTTTCCATTTGTTTCTGAAATGATTTTGGTTGCTGTTGGAACATTGTTTTAAATAGCTGATTTAAAGTCTTGTGTTATCTTCACATTGCCGTCTCCGGTCTTCTGCTGCAAACCGCTGTTTTCCTGGTCTTAGTAACTTTGGATTGTGTTGTAGCTAGTTGGAATAATAAGTTATGAGACTGTGAATCTTGTTTAGATACTGTGATGACTGTTGATATTTTTTATTTAGAAGGCCATTGACTGGTTAGATTCAGACCTTAAGTTCCAGTCTAGATTTTGTGGTTATTGGTACCATTGTCAGCTTTGTCTTCTAGTCTTTTTCATGCTAGCTGGATCTGTCCTGCCAGAGCCTCATACAGTCGCCATTCTGGGATCTTTGCTAGTTGAATTCTGAGAGTCTTTGACATGTTAATTATGTTCTTGCATCTGTACTTAGAGGATAAGGTAGGCGTGAGTAGACCTAAGAGCTAATAAAGCGGTGCTTTTGGAGCTCTTTTCTGTGTGTCTCCTTAGCTCTTACTGTTTGATTTCTCTGGTCAGAAGGGTAGAGTTCTAATTACCCTTGCCACTTCCCTCTCTTTTAACTCTTGAATGTGGTTCCAATTTGTGAGAGACACAGAGGCAATAAAGTTGGTCCATTCACTGCTGTTCAGATTCAAAATCTAGTCATCCTACTTAATTTGCCTTTTACCTTTCAGAGTTCTCACATAACAGCTCTGTGCCCTCAGCCCAGGTATTAGAGTTGTATTCGATGAGAGAGGGTGATGTATCCTTGTCCCATCTTATCCAGAAGCAGAACTTAGAAATGATGTGTAGTGTCTCACAGTTAATGAGTACCGTAGTATGGGGCTCCATTTGTGGTAAGTGATTCATCCACATGCTTGATGTAGTTGTTACTAGCACATCTGGTATGTTCTGTGCTAAAGAGCTTATTTTTATCATTTTTAGTTACACACTTTTTTCCCTACAGATGAGGTGCTGACTCTTCTTCAGAACTTTGTCATGTCCACCACAGAAAGCGTTTCTGAATTTATTCTCAGAAGACTTACTACGAATGAGCTGAATAGTGTGAGTATGCACTGCAGTAGCTTTTCATCCATTCTTTGTACTAGAGTTGTGTCATCATTCTGTATCAGCTTGGCACAGTCATCTGCTTAGTAATTGTTTTCAGTTGAAAAGTTATTCTAAGCATTTTTATTCTAAACATACTCATGTTTTTCAAGCAGAAAAAGCACAAAGGGAGCAGATGCAACGTGAAGGTGGTCAAGCCTGACTTCAGCTTGTTACATAAAGGGGAACTGTCCCCATCAATAATATCCGTCGTATCATAAAATAGCTACATGGTCAGACATGCCACCCCACTTTGCCCCTGTACCTATTTCTACCAGTCGTTGAACTCAATGTTTGACTCACAGATTTTACTCACAGTTGTGGGATTTAGTAGGAAAATTGGGGGGGGGGGGCCAAAGAATATCACATGAAGCATATCCAGCTCTACCCAGCCAGATTAACATGGTGCAGTTTCTCAATTAGTGAAAGCTCGGGTTCAGTTCAGCAGCACAAATTCAAGAAACTTCTGGTTTCCTCAGTCGTCCAGCAAACTATACCTCGAGCAGTTACAAGTGAGCTCTTCCATTAGTCATTCCACAAACAAAACCTTTAACTGTGAGTTCATCTCCAAGGTTCCTCTGGTTACACCTTGCCCCAGTCTCTTTACAACAGTGCCATAGTATCTTCATCCTCTCTCTACCACCATCACCATCTTTTTTACAGTGTAGAAAGTGCTCTTTTATATTATATTGGTCCTGCGGCTATTGGTGATTTGCAAGACCATCTGTCCGCAGTTAAGGTAGCTGGAGACCAAGCCCAGGGGTCAGGGCTAATGCAATGGCTAGAAAAGCCAATTTTTAAGGTTTCAGACACTCCAAAAAGAGTCTTTAAAGAGACTGTAGCGTTCTAGAGCATAAGTTCCAGTTCCATTTGCATTTATTAGCTGTGGCATTGGGCAACTTACTTACCTTTTCTGAGCCTCAATTTCTTCATCTGTAAGATGATAAAAGTATCTCTTGCTGAATTTGAAGTGTTTCTTTATAAAGAATGACGCATCTTCAAAGTTTATTTGGGCCATATATTAAGATTCTAACTTGATAAATTTGTGGTGCGGCCTAGGTATTAATATATACCTTTTTATTTTTTCAAAAATTTAAAACTGTCTTTTTATTCTTATAAAAGCAATACATATACATTGTAAAATGTAAGAAAATAAATCACAGTGAAAACAAAAAAAAAATTAAGTAATGCATTTTTACCAAGTAGGTATAACAATTTCGATGCATTGCCATGTTTTCTTTATTTTAACTGTGATTTAAGTCAAAAGTTTACAAAGCATTGTAGTTTTTCATTCACTCTTTCATATATCTTTTGTTTTATAACAATTACATACACATAGGTCTTAACATCTATCTACAAATTTTGTATATTCCATGGCTAATAATATACTTTTTTAAAGTTCCTTGCCTGGTTTCTATGAGATAGAAGGTGGCATCAGAATTGGAGGAAGATTCACCAGCATCCTGTGTTATAAAGATGGTACAACCTTGTAGAAAGTGAAGAAGACATGAAGCGCATAATGCAGAGCAGACAATCAAAGAGTACAGTACAGCCTTCAATAGGAGTTACAGCTCAACAACAGGAAAACAAAAATCCTCAGGGCTGGATCATTAGGTAACATCATGATAGATGGAGGAAAGATTGAAATTGTCAGCAATTTCATTTTTACTAGCAGACAGCAAATCAAAAGATGGTTTACATTGGAAAAATCTGTTCCAAAGCAGATTTCTTTGGAACCTCTCCCAAAGTGCTGGAGAGCGGCAGTGCCATTTTAAAGACATCCGTGTCATAGGATTTTCATTTGCTTCCTGTGCATCTGAAGAGTGGACAAGGAATAAGGAAGACATAAGAAGACTCGGTGGCTTTAAGTTGTGATGTTAACTAAGAGTTCTGACTAACCCATGGACTGCCAAAAGAATGAACAGATCTGTCTTGGAACAAGGGCAGCTAAGGATGATCCTTAGAGGCAAGGATGGTGAGAATTCATCTCACATACGTGGGGCATGTTGTCAGGAGGGGCCTGTCCTCGGAGAGAAACATCATGCTGAGGAAGTGGAGGGTCAGAGGAAGACCCCCAGCAAGGTGGATGGCAGTAACGGGGCATGAACAGGACAGGACCAGGTTCAGATCTGTTCTTCTCAGGATCACTAGGAGTGGTTGTTGACTTAATGGCAGCGAACAACCGAATCATACTGAATCTGAAACATGGGCTCTCTCCAGGTTTCTCTTTTAGTGAATGTATCAGCTGACCAGTTTTTCAAGTTGCAGATTGTCTGGTACCTTTATCCCCTCACCCACTCCTGTACTCAATCAATCAAGAAACCCTATAATTTTACCTGATAGACTCATACATCACCTTGCAGAGTCTTAGCACATAGCGACTATTGAAAAGAGCACTGAATTAAGTGCCTACCATGCACTATAGGAACCATCTCCTGTTGTGATAAAAATTAGGGCCACCATGAAGAAGCATCATTGGCCTAAACATTTAACATATGTTTCTCATTTGTGTATAAAGGATGCTCATCTAGATGATAACATAATTATGATAAAAACAAAAGGGGGAAATATAGTAAGCCAATACTAAATATTTGTAATAAACGGAATGCTATTTAAATAAATTAAAAAAAAAAGAAATTGTCAACAGTACCAATTCTGTCTGTGGATGAGGAATTGGAGGCCTAAAGAGGCTGGTTAACCCTCCTGGTCACAGAGCAGTTGTGTGTTAGAACTCAGGTGATCTTGTATATCCCGCTTTCCAGCTGTGAGACCATGGGCAAGCTATTTAACATTTCTGAAATTTCGTGTCCCACCTTGAGAGGGTGAGACTATCATGTTCCTTGTGAGAATAGAATGCCGTAAATGAAGGAAGTGGTGATTGCTGTAAATGTCACTGTTGATGGTGTACCAGCAGTGGGACTGAGAACTGGGATACCATGATTCTGTGTCCATAGTCTCAGAACTGTGTGGAGACAAAGGATTCAATGGTGATCCGTAGACTAAGTGTAGATCACCATGTGAACCCAGAAGAGTGTGCCTAAGGTTCACGCGGGCAATTACAGAAGGCTTCCTGAAAGAAGTGATATATTTCCTTTCATAAATGCTCCTCCCCTACTTTTTAATAATGTTAAGTAACTCATTTATCTCTTTCATCAAAGCCCTCATAGCTCTGTTAAAGTCCTCGCCCTGCTGTGCTCTTTTGATGTTTTCCTGTTTCTCCCAGGTTTCAGATCTGGATCAGTGCCACTTGTACCTGATGGTCCTAGCTGAGCTGATCAATCTCCATCTGAAGGTGGGCTGGAAGAGGGGTAGCCCTATTTGGAGGGTGATTTCTTCTTTGACAAATGCATCCATTTGGCGCCTTCAGGAGGTGAGCAGTGAACAGGTAATCAGTGTGGGTTCGCAAGTTTGTAGAGTAAGCCCTCTGGGGACACAATTTCATCAAGTTTGGGAATGCTATTGTGATACTAAATATATAACAGATGTGGTGATTTCAGTCTTGAAATCCTTTAGAAATAGATGAGTGACTTGTGCTGGGTCCTTGCCGTGCACCACTCGGGGAGTTGGTGGCTTCATGTGACGGAAGGCATCAGGCTGGCACCCAGAGCTCTCCAGTCCTGACTTCCTCCCTGACTTTGATAGATAGCCAGCACTTCTGAGTCTGGTCCCCGCATAAGGGATGCCCGCCTTTATGGATGTACTCATCAGAGTCTCTGACAGCCCTCGTCACACTTCCCCTAGAAGTCCTCTCAGGCCAGTGCTCATCCTTCCTGCCATTATCCTTTCCCCTCTACTTTCTGTGCTGGTTGTGTGCTTTTGAGTCTCACTGACTGATAGCTGACCCTCTGGCAGGTTTTTGGAGGCAGGAATTTGCATAGGAAGAGATTGTCCATCTTTCTCTCACAGAGCAGCTGGTAGATTTGAACCATGTGCCTTAGGGTTGACAGTGCAACCTCTTACCACTAGGCCCCCAGCGCTCCATTTTGCTTCTACTAGGATATTTATTTCAGTCTTACTTTGTGGTGGTGTATTTTAGACATAGGCGCCATCTCCATTAGCCTTTAGCACCTGGAGCTATTTTTTAAGAATAATGCAGTGAGGTGTAATAGTTACACGGGCTTTGGAGCTGGACTATACCTCACTGAACACATCTGCAAATTAGGGTGTCTAGACATTAGTATTGGAAGCAGGAGTGGCGTCCACTTCCGAAAATAGCTTGCCTCCTGAAACCCTGTGAACCTGGAGAAAGGATGAAAGTCACGCATGCAAGTAAGTATTGTGGACCTTTGTTCATAGTGTCGCTAAGAGTCACATACGACTCAACGGCACCTAACAACAACATCAACAGGCATTAGAACTTTGGAAAGAATTGAAGCAAGTCCATCTATGCATATTGAGTATTTAGAACTACTGCCTGGTACGTGGAGAGTCCTCAGTAAATGTTAACTGCTGTCATACCACAGTGGGCTTGTGCCGGCTGAGGACAGCACAGCAGGGGGCGTGGTTCACATCTGTTGTCAGATCTGGTCACTGTGAGTCCCAGTCAACTGGACGGCACCTAACAATAACATTTTCATCTAACACATGGTGTTTAGCAAAGCGAAATTGAATCATAACTAATGTGGGTTGCTATAAAAATGAAGACATTAAAAAGAACTTTGAAAGGCTATCCTAACGGGAAACAACAAGGAGGACTTATTACCATCTCCGTGTCCTTCCTGATAGCTAGTAATCTGTCAGTGCTATGAAAGGACATTGGGGGGTTTGGATGTGGAATGAAATCATGACCTGCCACAATAATTTTACTCTTAAAGATGGGCTGTGTTTTGTTTTGTTTTTGTTTTTTTTAAAAAAAGGGCTGTTTTCTTTAGTGGTTTTCTCAAGTGTTTATGCCTAATGGGCTGTAAGTGCCTTCAAGGTAACACTAAATTTTACTTTGTGTTCGTGGTGCTGCTATGTGGCATTTATTTGTAGACACACTTGAGTGACTGGTTGCTTGATTTTAATGTGATTGCTAGGTTTTAATGTTCGGGGTTTGGGAAGTGGGCATGGGAAGGCAGAATGAATAAGGGGAACTCCCTTTCAGAACAGAGGTTCCAAATGGACAGAGACTGTCTTGTTTGTGTAACTTGTCAAGTTCCAAGTGCTTTACATGAAGTAACTCATCTTCCCACTAACTGTGGTAGTTATTCCCATTTTACAGACCGGGAAACCAAGGTCCAGTCTGTCCACAGTCAGACTGGTGGTGTGTGCAGACCCCAGGATTCCAATCTAGACCATGTCCAGGATGGTCATTGTCCTAATTGATGGGCTCTTGCTCTCCAGAAGCAGAGTTACAGCTTATTCAAAGAATAACTTGTAACCTGAAGTCTTGGTGGTTGACTTTAAAAAAAAAAAAAAAGAAAAGAAAAGCTTCCACCCTGTAGATAAATTAAGACTTACTCCTAGGAGTGTGGGAAAAGCACCAAGTTCCTTACCCTCCTTCAGCTTTGGGTCCTCTGTGTCTCTGTGCAACTGATGTGTCAGGTTCTGGTTCTGGACTCGACATCCCCACCCCACAAATGAAAAGGCCACATGTCCTCCTGGTGGGAACAGCAGCGTTCTTAAAGGCCATGTTAAATTTGTTTGCCTCTACTCTTCCATTAGATCTGTGGGGAGGGGGGGGGTTAATGGATGATTGTGTTGAACCCTCTTTTATTCCCGCTGATGGTCACTGACAGCAGAGAAGACAGAAAGGGGGGCATACGTTTTCTGAGGCTAACAGTGGGGAGCTTTTCCAGCTAGAGTTCTTAACCCCAGGTTGAGAATGGCTTGTGTTAACCATGGATTGCTATCTCCTCGTCAGGAACCCACCCTGGGTGGGCAGATTCAGAAAGTGGTCAGCCTGGCGGCTCTGGCCATGGTGTGTGAAGCCATCCATCAGAGGCCAGAGCTGCAGCTTGACTCGCTGGACGCAGGGGCCCTGGAGACGCTGCTTTCCTCCCTGCAGCTCAATCAGACCCTACCAAGGCCCCACACTGAGGAGGCTGGCAGGTACGTGCCTGGGAGTGCCACGACTCCACTGTCCAGCTTGGAAGGCTTTTCTTGTTTCTTTGATGTAATTCACAACTGCCCAGCATTACTTATTTTTTCCTAATTGTTATCATGTGGGATTGACTCATAGCTGATCCTCCAGCAGATTTTCAGAGGCTGTAAGTTAACACAGGAGGAGATTACCAGTCTTTCTCAGCCCCACAGTTGGATTCGAGTAGTGAACCTTTGGGTTCACTCGCATCTTTGGGTTGATAAGACATCAACTTTAGCCCACCAGAACACCATTGTCATGTTTTGTACAGAGGTGGGGAAGTTTTAAGAGGATGTTACAGATTTCAAGATTGGATGTGATAGTTGTTTCATCATTAATAATTAGTAATTACAAGAACATGGAGACAGCCCAGATATCCCACCACAAATGAATGGATTGCGAAATTATGGTACATTCACACAATGGAATACCATGCAGCACGTAGGAACAATGATTTTGTAAGTTATTATTTAACTTGGGAGGGACAGGAGGACATATTGTATAAAACCATTATTGTAGAATGAATATAAGGATCCAAGAGGGGTGGAAGAGGCTGGAAGCAGAGGGATGTGGATGTGCAGGGGGAGGGGAGATTAATCATCAGGTTGTACATCTTGATGGGTGGGTGGGGTGAGGGAAATGGAAAGAATTTGTTCAAATTTGCATTCGAATTTTATAAATAAACTAGTAGAAAATTTAAAAAAATACATTATTATTCTCTATTTCCTGAAGCTCACTCTGCACTTAGTTTTCATTGAATCATTTAAAGTGAGCAAAATAATCTACCATCAGGGTAGTTTGCAAAGTAAGGTTGTTGTGGCTTGCTTCTTTTTGGTGGGTGGTGACTTTCACTCTGTTTGCTTTTTCTTTTAATAAGGATGATACTCTGGAGAGGGAACTGAGAATGCCACGAGGAGACTTGGTGCAGTAATGTTCTTTTTCATTTCAGTGTTGGTGAAGAAGTGTTGTCTTCCCAGGGCTGGGGGAAGGTAGTGGCTCAGTATGTCCATGATCAGTGGGTCTGCCTCTCCTTCTTACTGAGAAAATACCACAGCCTCATCCCTGTGACAGACAGGGCTGTTCAGGACCCCAGCCTGCCTGCCGTGTACCAGCCCATGTGCACGCTGCAGGCAGCCCTAGAAGCCCTCAGCATCCTTCCTTCTGATCGGGTCTCGCCTGTGCTCCAGTGCATGAAGGTTTTGGTTCCCAAGGTGAGATGCAGCAAGATAGGAATGGCAGACCCAGCACAGGAGCAGCGGTGGAAGGGTCTGAAGTAATGTGTCCATGCATCTTTTATCTTCTACAGCTTCTGACCTCGTGCGAGTCGCTCTGTGTTGAGGTTTTCGACTCTGCCTGGAAAGTTGTGTCTTCTCTAAGCAACACTCAGCTGGTTTTCTGGTCTAACTTAAAGACTTTTGTGGAGTTTGTGTTTGATAACCAGCTTCTCACGATTGCTGCTAAAATCCAGGGTCAGGCTTATCTCAGAATAAAAGAGGTGAGTTTGGTTAACTTTGTGACAAATAGTAAACAAGGAAAATGATTTGTATTTGTAGCTGCCTATTAGCTTTGTTAGTTTTCTTGGCTCTACAGTCAACAACACTCTTGGCACTAGCAGTCAGGAAATTAAAAGACAAATTGCATTGGGAAGATCTGCTGTCAGGGACCACTCTGGAGTACTAAAGAGCAACGATGTCAGTCTAGAGGCTAAGTTGCGCCTGACGTAGGCCATAGTCTTCAAAATTACCTGCTGTGCATCAGAAAGCTGTACAGTGACTAAGGATGATACAAGAAGAGTTGATGCTTTTGAGATGTGGTGCTAGAGAAGAGTATTGAATATACCATGGACTGCCAGGAGAATAAACAGGTTCATCCTAGAGAGGGTGAAATCAGGCTGCTTGTTGGAGGCAAAGATTCTGAAGCTCCGTCTGATATACTTTGGGCATATTGCAAGGAGGGACCAGTCCTTGGAGAGGAACGTCATGCTTGGGAGGGTGAAGAGATAGCGCAAGAGAAGAAGACTATCGATGAGGTTGACTCAGTGACTGGGATAATGGGGCTGGGTGTGTCGGAGACAACAAGGCTGGCTCAAGATAAAGTAGGGTTCAGGCTGTTTTACATAGGGTTACTGTGAGTCGCTAGCGACTCGACGGCACTTAACAACAATTAGCTTTGTTATTATTTATATATTTAGCCCAGAGATCCTTTTTGAGCATTTTTCAGTGCTTTGAATAGAGATAGGATGTTAGATATGAAGGAAAAACTGTAGATCACATCTGACTCACACACATAGGTTGTTTGGCTTATTTAATGCTTCCGTTTTTTTAATTAGCCATCAGATCTCACAAATTGGGAAATTTGAGGACTTCCAGTAAGGCTGTGGACTAGACAGACAGTGGCCTAGATGCGACAGAAGATACCAGGAAACATAGTGGATATGGACAATACTAGGACCCTGAGTGTTAAAGGATGTGATAAAAGGTAGTTCAAATGCTGCCTGGAAAAAAAAAACCAGAACAGAAACAACAGATTAGGTGAAAGCGGAGCAGGGAATGATTCAAAGCAGACTTGACACAGCGCAGGCATCATGGACTTTCATGCAGCTTTCTGATTAACGAAGGACCCGGGACTGACTGCAGAGGTGGCTACGCTAGTGGTGGAGTAGCTGGCAGGGGCCATCTCTTTTTTTGTCCCCATCTCCTTCCAGTGACTGAGGGAGAGATTGCTCCACGTGTCCCCTCACAATGACCGGGAGTACTGCCCTGGGCCAGGCCCCTTCTTTAGCTGCTCTCAGGCATGCTCCTTGAGGACTGACCCCAAGACCTAAAATTTGTTCTGCCAGCCCAGCATAAGGCTAACCTTGTGGAGGCTCAACCTGCAGCTGACCTGAGACCACAGGGGCATGGCCATCCCTGACCCAGTCTCTGCCACTGACCGCCTCCTAGGTTGGCAGGAACTGTCCCTGACAGAGCAGCCCTGAGGGTCCTTGTAGCCAGTGGGGTGCCTTGCCCCAGCCATCACCCCTTTGGGATGTCTATCCCAAGCAATCACCCCAGTGCTCTAGCACAAGGTACATATCACACCTCTGTTTGGAGGTTCACACACCCTTCCCCATTGGGCCTTGGGAGCATCTTCACTGGTATCCTGCCTGTCACTTGACCTGGCACAGGTCATCTCTGATAGGGTTCTTGGCACCAGGTCTCTGTCACCCCTGCATTTGGAGATATATGTGCCACCCACCCAGTACTAGAAGTGGTTTCTACTCCTGCAACCAGCTTCTGGACTCTGTTTCAGACCCCTACCTGCCTCAAAGTCAACTGAAATAAAAATATAATACAGAATTCTCCGAAGAACCTACTCCAGCAAAGTTGAAAACCTAAAGATAGACCAATTTTTAGAAACACAGCTTACTCAAACTAGTACAGACATGTAGAAAATTCTCGCAGGGTTAAAGTTCAGAAGACAGGAAATGGTGAGAGAGAAGGATAAGTGAAAACGAGAGCCAGAGAGAGGGAGTGGGAAAAGTGCAGTTACAATGTAGGATTGAATGGGAAAACTGTAAACTTTCACTCAAATTACAATATAATAAAGAAGGGTGTATGGAAAAATTTGGGTTTCACCTTTTTGTGAAAATTTGGATGCTCCAGGAGCACAAGTTATTCCTACATATCAGTTGTCTTCTGGAGTTTGGCAGAATCTGGCCCAGTTTCCCTTCTAAATTTCCCTCAGCCTTCACAGCCACTTCTTGGTCCTTTCTTGTCACTGAAAGCAAATCACAGTTGTTATTTACTCTATTTAGGCTATTTTCTTATGCAACGTAATGTTTCTCTGCAGGTAATGTTTTTTTTTTTTTTTTGCTGAAAGGTCTTCCTGGCTTCTGGATGCAGGTGAATTTAGGGAACACAGCGTGATGGAATTAGAGTGTACCTAGGAGAATAATGCGTACAGGCAGGATAGTAGAAAAAGTTCTCTTTCAGTCTGCCTTGCTGTCTTGCTGCACTTGACACAGTCTTCCCGGGTCCATAGTACAGGCCTGGAGCTGTGGTCCCTGCTGGGAGGTGTGCTAGGTACCTAGGGTGCCGAGGGCCTTATTAAATGATAAAGTATGAGGCGTGAGCTCTCTTGTGTCCTGTTACTTCCAGCTGCTGTTCCCTGAGAGTGTTTTGGTTAATTGTCCCTGTCAGTAAAATTTTACTTCCTTTTTATTACTCAGAAATGAAAAATTAGCATTCTATGATTATTGGTCATTTTGTAAAATTAACAAGTAAGGATTTTTTTATATATATATTTTAGACAGAATTGATTATTCTGTCAAAAGGATCTTTTTGAAGCTATCTTAAGGACCAGCTTTACTAGCTGTAATACTAGCTTTCAAAGAATTAAATCAGGTAAAGGCTAAAATGACCATTTAATCTCATCGCAGATTATGTACAAGATAATAGATATGTCTTCTGTAAGAACTGGCGTCTTCAACACCCTGCTGAGTCACTGCTGCCGGTCCTGGGTCATCTCTGCCTCTCATGGGTCCCAGGGCTCTCTGTCCAGTGCACAGAATTACAGCGAGCTTGTTCTCGAGGCCTGCACTTTTGGGACTGTGTTCAGGCGTGATCAAAGGTGAAGAGACTGTTATTTCAGTGCGTGGTAACTTACATTAAGTACTGGCTTGGGTGGGAGTGATAGGTCTCTGTTATGAGGCATTGCATTAGAATATAACACACGAATGAATGCTGACTTTGGACTACTAATGTTTTTCTGCCTAATAATACTTACTATTCTTTATCAAATGCTTTTTCTATGGCAAGGCTTGTTCAAGAAGTACAGACTTTCATAGAAAATCTTGGGCAGCAGTGTGCAGCAAACACTATTATTGAAAAGTGAGTATGGGGACTTTTTCTGTTAATAAAGTGTTGAAAGTTTGACAGCATATGAGATCAACTCTGTGTTTGTTAAATTCAGTAGATGTTTACTGTAAATGTTAAATTATTACAAAAGATTAAGTGAGCAGAAGTTTGTTGGGAATTTCCTTCCTAAATAAATTTCTTTACTAATAACTTTTTTCTGTTACTAACACTGGTAATTTTTACCAACTTTGAAATGTTCGGTGTGAAGTCAGTATGAATGAGGAAGTGAGCACAGGAAGTTTAAAAGCCCATCTCTTCCTCCTTCTTGGAGTTGATCATCAGTTCTCATTATTCTTAAATCCTTCTGGTTATAAAGTTTGATGTATAGTAAAAATGCACTGTGTAACAAATGAATATGTTGCACACAAAATAGAAATAATCTTGAAATAGGTTCTAAAGCTTTTACTTGTAGGATAAAACTATTCTTATTTAATTTCTGATTTTTGTTTCCATGGGGTAGCTTTATAAAAAGTTTTCTTTCTCTCCCCACCCCAGCAAAGCCTATTTATATGAAGGTAATAGATTCCATTATTCATTTTGTCTCTAGAGTGTAGGACAATGTATGGTTATTGTGTGTAGCTAGTGCCTTACCTATGTTTGATAAAGGCATTCTTCAGTGAATATATACATACATACATGTGCATTTTCATTGTTAACTGTTAGTTGATGTTTTTGTTGTTGTTTATGTTCCTAGTTGATGGTACCCAAGTAGTTTTATTTTTACTAGATAAGTGCTTTGATTAATTAATTAAGAGAACATTTACTCACCTTTTAACAGTTGTGATTAAGTAGAGATTTAGTCATTAATAATTTTTCATCATATATATGCTTGGTTATTAAAAGAGGTGGGTCCTGAGGGCACAAAGGGCTCCTTGAGCCCATCATCTTGATGTGTGCCTCCTGTAGGGAAAGTGTGTTAATTGCAGGCAGGAAGGAAAAACTGCCACGGAGATACTTGGTGCTGTTTCCTGACACCTGACTTTCTCTTAAGAATAGCTTCCTGTGTTATGATAGTCTGTATTTACAGATAATATTATTGACTCAGGCTCAGTAGTGTATGCTTTATTTCTTCAGAAGTCTGATTGAATTTGCTCACTCTGGCACGCTCTTCTTTTGATAGATTAATTTGTTGTCTTCTACTGTGTCTCCTGAATGAAAGTTACTGTCATCAAGTAAAAATGCACTTGTTCAATTTCAGAAGCCTTTGACAGGTTTAGGTACTTGTAACTGTGCTTTGAAAGTAATCTTTTGTATTTTTATGTTTTCCATGTAAATGCAAATAGTTTATAATTTTTTTAATTTTTATATATTTTAGTGCTAAAAGAGAGGACCATTATGTGAGAATCTGCGCTGTCAAATTCTTGTGTTTACTGGATGGTTCTAACATATCTCATAAGTTGTTCATGGAGGATCTTGCAATCAAGCTGCTTGATAAAGTAAATATACTTTATCGTAATTTAAATTATTTGTAGAGTTAAAAGAGCACAAAACCCCAACGTTTAGTCTTTGTGTTTCTAGAGTGTGCCTGTAGGACTGATTTTTTTTTTCTTTCCTTAAACAGGAGAAAATGTGAATAGTATTAGTTTCAGAGAACAGCCGTGTTTTCCCTAAAGCATTTAAACTTCACTCTGTTTTACAAAATCCAGTCAAAGCCAGTATTTTGAAAAATGAGGGTTGCAGAGTGGATTATATTTGGGGTTGGGGGTAGGATTGGGGGGGGGCGGGGGGGATTGTGTATCAATGAGGGAGTTTTTCTTTTGCTTTTCAAGGAGAGGAGCAAACGGGATGGTGTAGGGGGATGTGAGGGGGGGTGGGCGGGGAGAAGGGTGCAACAATGAATGAATGGAATTCCAAGATCTCTGTAGATGTTCGTTGAAATGAAAAATAAGTAAATTAAAATATTTAAAAAAATAAAAAGTAATACAGAAAAAAAATTATACGCTCATACTTTGGACATGTTGCTAGGAGAGGCTGTTCCTTGGAGAAGGACATGATGCTGGGAAGGTTGGAGGATCAGTGAAGGAGAGGAAGACCCTCAACCAGGTAGATTGGCATGGTGACTGCCACAGTGGGCTCCATGTATCGGGAAATGTGAGGATGGCAGGGTTCAGATCTTAGGTTCATAAGGTTGCTATGAGTCGTACTCAACTTGACAGCACCTGACAGCAATAACAGCACAAAGTCAAAGCCAGTTTTTTTAAAAAATGATATTGTATACTATTTTATGGTAGAAATCAACAAATAGGTAAAAATGCAGAAAGTGGCATAGTAAGATGAATTGGTTTATTGACTGGACCCGTATCATCGCCTCGGTTTGTAAGACTTATCTCAGTTGATAGCTGTTTCTTTTTACACTCGGGTTGACGTAATCCATGCAGTGAGATTTTGTGAACCTGGTCTGCTGAGTTGTTTGTAAAGGAACAATACAGTGTCTGAGGTCCAGGACTAAGTCTGCACCCAATGCTGAGCACCTCTGTTATTCCTGAAATGACACGAAGCGCTTGAAGCATAGAAGAATTAGGTGATTGGTCCAAGTTCTCATTACCTCAGCTTTGGACACTCAGAGGTAGCTGGTGGCTTTAAACCCACTTAAGTCATGAGTTTTGAAACAGGAGTTTGAAAACAGGAGTTACTCATACATTTGTTTTCTGAAAGTAGCAGATTTACTTTATTAAGTAAGACTTAGGAAGTTATTTTTAGAGGAAGCTTCCCTTAATCTGCATTCTTGGAGTCAGGGAAGATGTCACAGATGTTGTTGTTGTTGTTGTTATGTGCCATCGAGTCACTTACAACTCATAGTGACCCTATGTACAACAGCCCTAAACTCTGCTCTGTCCTGTGCCAATCTCACTGTCTCCAACACACCCATCCCAATTACCCTAATCACCGAATCAGTCCACCTCCTAGAGGGCCTTGCCCTCCTGCGCCATCCCTCCACCCTTCCAAGGACCAGTCTCTCCTTACACCATGACCAAAGCACATCGTCAGACAAAGCCTCAGAATCCTTGCCTGCAAGGAGCAGACTTTCCCATGGCAATACGTCTTTTAATTGCCTGGCTACTGGAGCCAGGAGTTGATTGTGGAGCCAAGCAAACTAAAGATGTGAACAATCTCAGTCTCTTCACCATCCATCATGATGCTGCCAATTGGTCCAGTGGTGAGAATCTTTGTCTCCTTGACATTGAGCCTCAATCCATATTGAAGGCTGCAGTCCTTGGCCCTCTCCAGCAAGAATTTCAGGTCCTCCTCAGTTTCAGCAAGCAAGG